ACTGGCTTATTTCGCTTAGCATATTACTCTCCAGTTCCCTCCATGCTGTCCCAAAAGATAAGAGATCTTTCTTTTTTACAGCTGCATAGTATTCCATGGTGTAAATGTACCACAGCTTTTTTATCCACTCATCTACTGATAGGCACTTGGGCTGTTTCCAGATCCTAGCTATTCTAAATTGTGCTGCTATGAACATAGGGCTACATACGTTCTTTCTGATTGGTGTTTTGGATTTCTTAGGATATATTCCTAGAAGTGGGATCACTGCGTCAAATGGCAGTTCAATTTTTAATATTTTGTAGAAACTCCATACTGCTTTCCATAGTGGCTGCACCAGTCTGCATTCCCACCAGCAGTGTACTAGGGTTCCCCTTTCTCCACACCCTCGCCAGCACTTGTCATTTGTTGATTTGTGGATGGAGCCATNGTGGCAGCCACTCTGACAGGTGTGAAGTGATACCTTATTGTGGTTTCAATTTGCATCTTTCTGATGATTAGTGACTTTGAGCATTTTTTCATATGTCTCTTGGCCAATCTCTATGTCCTCTTTGGAGAAGTGTCTGTTTAGGTCCTTTGCCCATTTTTAATTGGATTATTTGTCTTCCTTTTGTTAAGTTGTATGAGTTCCTTAAGTATTTTGGATGTTAACCCTTTATCAGATGTGTCATTGGCAAATATGTTCTCCCATACAGTGGGCTCCCTTTTCGTTTTGTTGATGATTTCTTTTGCTGTGCAGCTTTTTGTTGTGATGCAGTCCCATTTGTTTATTTTCTCCTTTGTTTCTCTTGCCCTAGGAGATGTATCAGCAAACATATTGCTACCAGAGATGTTTGCGATTTTGCTGCCTGTTTTCTTCTAGGATTTTTATGGTTTCATGTCTTACATTTTTAAGTCTTTTATCCATTTTGAGTTTATTTTTGTGTATGGTGTAAGTTGGTGGTCTAGTTTCATTTTTTTTGCATGTATCTGTAGAAACTTGATTTTTAAGTAATAATTATAGACCTAATCATTATTGATTTCTCCCTCCTAAATATAGTAAGAAAAATGATTTAACTTTGAAAACCATTTTTTAATATTTTTGTCAAGTTAGAGTAAGAAGGGAAAATGTGTTTATAAGAGTTAGTTCAGATTAAGAAAGATGTTACTCAAAGCCACATTCCTTTAAACAGTGGTGTAACTATTCACATGTAGGATACTAAAGAGTGGGAGAAGTGTGAAGGCCATGTTGTATTCTATTGAAAAATAGTGATAACATATGAAAGCAAAAACTGCAGAACCATTTGTCTGTCTGGTTGTCTATAGTGCGTATAAGCTTTTTGCATCAGTAAGTGACATTTGGTGAGTGACACATGTTTGAGGATTGTTCATTGGAAACTGGACTTTTTCATGGTCACATGTATGAGCAATTCAAGAAGGTAACCATTGTTCCTATTAAATGATTCTGACAGGGAATGTTTTATCCATGCCATAGAGATGTGACACTTTAAGGTACATTTCTGAAAATTATTTTAAAATAATTGCTACGAAAATGAGTTCAAGATTTAAAAACGGTGTGCTTAATACAAAATATTTATTAATAAAATATTTAGTATTACTAAGAATTTTTATTACTATTAGTATCTTAATATTTAGATATTAATATTGATACTAATATTCATGAATACTTGTGAATTTTTAAAGCTTTTAAATCATATTTCCTAGAATAGCTTTTATTTGATAATGAGGATGTACTGATTTATTATTCTTGTTAATATTAAATTATACTGATATTTGTTTATAATTTAGGTCTTCTTTATAAATTATCTTCTCATTCATGACATGCTTCCTTGGTGGCCAGATAGATGATATGCATCATAACAAGCAGTATTCTAAAAGCATGACTGGTTATATAGCAGTCTCTCAAGGTGTATAATTATGCACAAATTACAAATTCTGAGTGAGGCAAGGAAACTAATTTTTTAAAAGTATTTTATAATTGGTTTTTTAGAGAGAGAGAGAAGCATCAATGTGAGAGTGAAGCATTGATTGGCTGCGTCCTGCACAGCACCCCCACCCTCCACTGCCCACAACCGGGATGTGGCCTGACTGGGAATCGAACCAGCAACCTTTTGGTGCTCAGGACGATGCCCAACCAACTGAGCCACACCAGCCAGGGCATAATTTTTTTATTTTATTAGTATTCTCTCATTCTTTGAAGACTCTGGGGCTAGATCTAAGATGTTTCGTACAGAAAGTATTAATGGAGTACCTATTAGTTACATAAACTGCTAAGTAGAGGGAATAAGGTGTCAGACTGTGTAACCTCTGTAAAATAAACGTCTCTCTTTATAATTCAGATACAAAGTAATTCCGGTGAACTCTGGTTTGTCCTCTGTGCAGTACTTTTACTGTAGAGGGAACATGGTGCAGCTGGTCGCTCTAAAGCTGGAGGTGTCGCGGCTCTTGACAGACTCACTAAAAGCAGTTATAATTTTCTCATCTCCCCTGTTCTACTATACATTGATATCTAATAAAATTGTTTTGATGTAATTTCCTTAATAAAGACTACCCTGCTTTCATATTTCTGTCCTCATAATAATAAGTCTTCCTGATACTCTGTCACAACTCAATGCCAGATTTTTTTTTTTTTTTAAATGATATTAATGGGCCTTCAAATTATATCCTGTATAAAGAGCAAGCTATCTCATAATTGAATATACTTAAAATTTTTCGATCAAGATCCTATCTTTCATGATTAAGAGGATGGAATTCTGGAGCCTCACCAAAGTATTTTTCAGACATTTAAGCTAAACCAGAACTGCCACTGAAGATAGTCCGGGCGCGGCTTGGAGCATCCCTGCTGCTGTAGACCAACCTTTGATTCTGTAGATCAGCAAGGGCCCTCTGTGTGGAAGAGCAGCATTTACATTTTCATTTTTATCACAAATTAACAGGTTTAGAGTTGTCTGGTATCTGAATCTGAGTTGATCATTATAATTTTACTTAGCAAACCAATAAATCTGCAAACCAGGTATTTATCAAAAACTATATAAAGTTGATTTCTGTAAGAACATTTTGCTTCTGTCAAAGACCTGGTATAGACAATTCATGTTTAAGAGAGCATCTTTTCCTGTTTTCATGTTAAACTTCTTTCTGATTGCAACAGCTCACCTTCCTTGGTTGGGGTTTTTAACATAATCATCTCAGCTTGGCTCTATCCCATGCCTTTGATCCTTTATCTATATCTTGGTGGGACAGTAATCTATTTTTTCTCTTTTAATAGTTTCAGATGTATTTTGGGACTAGATATGAATTGCAAGCAATAAAAATTTGTTAAGATAGAATTAATTTAGGATTAACTAGAAATCCCTTTATGTGAATGTTCCCCACTGAAAAATCTTCTATAATATAAATGCAAATATTTCTCTCTCATAGTTGAATATAGAAAGGCTACCCTGGCAAAGGGCGTTTGTCAGACTGTTGTGAATGGCAGCTAATAAATTAGGAAGGAAGTTTTGAGACAAGGTGGAGTTGGGGGGTGGGGGGGCTAATGCAGGCTCTGTGCTTTGACAAGCCCCGAGGCAACTGTTATTGTTTTGTCTTCAGTAATCCAAATCTTTTCCATCTGTAGTTAGGGTGAGGCCTTTACATTAGCAAATGCTCCAGCCTATCAGACCTGATCTTTCGTCCTGAAAGGA